TTTTTTGGCTGCTTTGTGGTTTGGAAAGCTCACAGAGTCTGGTAGAATAATTTCACCCACACAACTCCTATCACCAGCTGATTTCTTGTGGCCACACACCAGCTAGCGTCTGTTCTAGGACATCATACCAGCCATCTCAGTGAACCACAGCACATTTCTGAAGACATTTATACTTCTTTGTATTACCATTAATACAGAGGGTAAGGCAGATGCTTCCAAGTTATTGTTTCACTTACAAGTTTGCAGTAGGCAACTGCAAGGCACCCCATCGGGATGTGACGTGGCAGGACCTCCCCTTAGCATAGATCTTCTAATGACATAAATTATGTTTTGAATACAATGGAAACATACATGTATCTTTCAAGATACTAATAGGTTAAAAAGAGAGTTGAACTATACTGACAATTAAAGGTTACTAGTAAATCCTACACTGGATAAAAGCAGCCATATATATATTTATTCTTATGAACATACAGGATTACAAACCCTACCTTTGATCACAAAGACAGAAGTTCATGTTAGCATTTCATGTAAAGTGATCTGGTATTTAGTTGGTGCAGTTGGTTGTCAAAACAGTCAAAACAGATGTTACTTCCACGACTGACAGCAATGTACCCATCTGGCACCATCTATCTGGAAATTCATTTCATAAATGCCCGTAAAAGAAGGCTGAAAATTCTAAAATCAAAATCAAATTGATGTACGTAACTTGCATTTTCAGAAATGCCACAAAGGTATTCAACAAAGATACATCCACTGGAGTGGGCTGATAGCTCTCTGGAAGGGGAAAACAAACAAACAAACAAACAAACCTTAATGGGATGAGAATCCCATTACATTATATTAACTTTCTTAACTTATTTAGAATTTGCAATTAACTTTAGGTTTAAAACTTCAGAGAAATGCCATACGTTGAACAGAAAAATATTTGTGTCTGACTCTGTGTATTTCAAAATATTATCCAAGATTAGTATTTTAAATATCACATTAATTCACAGGACAATAAAAACTTTGTATCTACAGAACCTTTTCTCCCTCCTTAACTGTTTTGCTAAGAGATGTCACCAACTCTAGATCAACTTTATGGAAAAGTAGAATTCTTATTATAAGAATCCTTAAATAGTCATATGTAATCAAAAATCCTTACAGTGC